ACTGGAAATAGCAGCAGGAAGGAGTTCCACATATTGAGAGTTCCTGGCCTTTCTGCTGAATAGGTAGTTAATATTAAGCTCATTTTAGGCTTTATTTATTAATCTCATGTCTCCTCATCTTTAGGTTGTAACTCTGAGGAATCCAGGATTTTTGGTTGTAATTATTGTTTTAAGAATACATGAGGAATGGGTGCCTGGGTGGCGCAGTCAGTTAAGGGTCTGCCTCTTGATTTCAGCTCAGGTCATGATTTCATGTTTGCGAGATTGAGCCCTACTTCAGGCTCTATGTTGACAGCAATGGTCCTGCTTGAAATTCTTTCTCTCCTTCTCTGCCCTTCCCCCACTCATGTGTATGTGTGCGCGCTCTCCCCTTTTTCTTAAAATAAATAAATAAACTTAAAAAAAAAAGACTGGGGCGCCTGGGTGGCTCAGTCGGTTAAGCGTCCCGACTTCGGCTCAGGTCATGATCTCACAGTTTGTGGGTTCGAGCCCCGCGTCGGGCTCTGTGCTGACAGCCAGCTCAGAGCCTGGAGCCTGCTTCAGTTTCTGTGTCTCCCTCTCTCTCTGATCCTCCCCTGCTCATGCTGTCTCTCTCACTCTCTCTCTCAGAAATAAATAAAAAACATTAAAGAAAAAAAAAACTACACGGGGGAAAACAAAGAATATACAGAGGCCTCAGCAGACTGAAACCAGTTAGAAGGGACTGTAACACTGAGGATGGAATGGCTCTAGAAACCCAAAAGGGTTCCACCTGGTATAGTTTTATGGACTGTGAACAGAATCTGTTTCTTGAAACAACCCTTTGAAGTCAAATCTATGACCAAGAGCAAACCTCTTTACCATCCAGTGTTCCTTATTGACTCAGACTTATTGAAGTATAATTTACAAACAGTAAAGTCCAACCTTTTTAAGTGTATGATTTGATGAGTTCTAACAAATATGTGTGCACTTGTAACAGCATAGTTAACATACAGAACACTTCCATCACCCCCAAAAGTTCCTTATGCTTGTTTTTATTCAGTCCCCTTCCTGCACACTTACTTTTTGGCAATCAGTAATCTGATTTCTTTTCGTATAATTTTGTTTTTTCTAGAGTGTTGTATAATTGGAATCATAGTATTTAATAGCTTTCTGCATTTGACTTTTTTCAGTCAGTGTAATGCTTTTGGGATCCATCCATGTATCAGAAATATGTTCTTTTATTGCTGAATAATATTCCATTATGTGGCCATACCACAATTTGTTTATACACTCATTAGCTGATTGACTTTTGGGTTATTTCCAGATTTGCTATTATTAATAAAGCTGTTGTATGTATTCCTCTTGGTTTAAAATACCTAGGAATGGGACCTCATTCTAGCTACTTTATGAGTGAGGTATTCTCCCCATTTACAGATCAAAGAAATTGTACTTTTGGGCAACGTGATAAATAGAGCATGCTTCTGGGAGATATTTCCTCTTTGGGATTAGTGAACACTTAGTTTATTAAAAACAGAGTTCTATCTCTGCTGGACTGGTGACAGCAGCCCTAATCCACCTGTCTAATGGGAAAGCTAGAAAGAATTGATCTTCTTTTTTTCTTGCAGTTACAGAGGAAAGCCGCGAAGAGCCAGCATTCCAGAATTTTATGCAAGAATCAATGGCACAGTACTGGAAGAGAAACAACAAATAGTTTCTAGAAGTCCAAACTTTTGGAACTCTGTGAAGGAACTATCCTCACCTCTGACTGGGGGCTACCATAAAGGACAGTTTTGTTCAGAGTAGCAATTTCTCTTATAGGGAAATTTGACTCAGATGAAGCCAGGGATAGGAGACTCTTGACTTGGCAGGTAGATGCCAATTCCCCTGGCCTTTCCCTTGGATTTATGCAAGGAAGGATATGGACTGTTCTTGGATACTGGTATCTCTGCAAGCCTAAAGCTTCCACATTCAGTGTTTGAACTTAAGTACTTTTGCTGCTGATGGATGAAACAGAGAACTTAACAATCCACTCCAAATCTCTTATTAGGCTGGATCTATACTTTACTCTCCCAGCATCTTGCCCTTGATCCTACACCATGAGTTCCCCTCCTTTTAGCAGAAAGGGAGAAAGAAAACATGAGTTTGCCCAGAGTGGCAGTGGAAGTCTCCTTGGCAACCAATCAGTGTTGGGTATGAAACGTGCCTCACATGTGGTAGCTCATTATAGGACGCCAGGTTTGTTGAAGAAATTGAACCAAACATAAGATTAATGAGTAAGAATATTGCTTTTGATGGTGATTTGGATAAAGAGTTTTTAATTTTAATTTTGTTGCAAGCCTGCCTGTCATAATTTCAAATAAGAAAATTATATAATTACACATAGATCACTGGTTCAACACAGAGGTTTAAAGCCACATGTCCAAACTTGTCTCAGTAAAGAGGGGATGTTTACTAAAGCCTCCCGTCTATACATACCTCATAATCAGATACAGAGCCAGGCCCTATTTGTATTGTATTTTATTTTTAAAATTTATTTATATATATTTTTAAGTAGGCTTCATGCACAGCATGGAGCCCAATGCGGGACTTGAACTTACAACTCTGAGATTAAGACTTGAGCTGAGATCAAGAGTAGGACTCTTAACCAGCTGAGCCAGCTAGGTGCCCCTGTATTGTACTTTAAACTTAAGGCAAAGTATCCATGGTGATTTCCTCAAAAGGCATGGATTTGGGTCAGGTGCACATTCCACACATAGTAGCCATGGTAAGGTTTGCCCTGCCTCCACATTCTTCATATTAATGTAAAACATAGTGCGTTTTATCCCTGCCCAATCTGCACTCTAATTCAGTGGTGTGGCCACTGGACCAGAAGCATCAGCATTACCTGGGAAATTGTTAACACAACACTCAACCTCAATCAGAAACTGGGGGTGGGACCCAGAAATCTGTTTTAATAAGTCCTTGAGGGGATTCCCTTGCATTTAAGTTTGAGAACCACTGTTCTAATTCAATTAGCCTGTGACAGTTTTAGGCCAGGAGAATCTCAGGTATGCTCAAAATGACCTGCTTTATCAAGAGTACCCTAACCGTGACCATCTGGTGCTTATTCTCCAATTTAAACATTCTAAAAATATTTTGCCAATTTCAGTATTCTGTGCCTATAGATTATAGTCCTCTATAGGTCTACAGGTATTCTAATACCTATAGATAATACCGAGAAACCACTGGTCTAAAAATTTGAACCTGGTGGAACTGCCATCCCCCAGTAATTTTCAAAATGACCAACACAAAGGGAAAGAGGAATGGTACCTGCCATGTGTTCTCTAGGCCTTTTAGAAAAAAAGTGGAGTTGTTCTTTGGCCACATACATGCAAATCTACAAGAAAGGTGATACTGTGGGCCTTAAGGGAATAGGCACTATTCAAAAAGGAACACCTTACAAATGTTAGCATGGCAAAACTGGGCCCATTATGCTGCTGCCATTATTGAAAACAAACAAGGGCAAGGTTCTTGCCGAGAGAATTGTACAGATTAATTCTTGAGACAGCTTCCTGAAACGTGTGAAGGAAAATGATCAGAAAAAGAAGGAAGCCACAGAGAAAGGTATTTGGGTTCAACTGAAGTGCCAGCCTGTCCCACTCAGAGAAGCACGCTTTGTGTGAACTGATGGAAAGGAGCTGCTGTAGCCTGTTCCCTATGAATTTGTGGCATGATAGATGTAAAAAAAAAAATAAAAGACCTCAGAATTGTTAAAAAAAAAAAAAATTTGAGCCTATTCAAGAAGAAACCATTTGGAAAGCAAAACTATGAATATATTTAGTTTTTCCACTTAGTGCCCTTGAATACTTCTTTACAAAGTAACTTACCTGGCCTATGCTGAAAGCTCCGTAAGGAGAGAGACAGTCTTACTCATCGCTGTGTCTCGCACAGGACCCAGTACATAACAGTTGCTCAATAAATGCTTGCTAATTGAATGGATTAAATACTAGATGGCTACTTTATGGAAAATGCTTGAGGTCTACTTTCATAAATAGGGGAAACAAGCTGAGTCTGGAATAGGAGTTCAGATAAGTGTGCTAAGGATTGTACAATTAGCAAATTTATAAGTTATCTGATAGTTTACAACCTCTTTATTGCTGTTGCATTCATTTTTATTCTCAGAGCTTGGGACATTTAAGGCATTCAATAATGTACTAATTAAAGCCATTCCTTGATTTTGGTCTCTTATTAAAAGAATGCTGTAAGTTTCAAAAGACTTGTATTCTGTACCCAAAACCCAAATTTCAGCAGGATTTAACATACCAGCACCCATTACCAAAGCAAAAAACACACATTTGCTCATTCCTCCTCATTATTCCAGTGCTAATCATTCAGTAAATACTGAGACTTTTAGATGCCAGGCAGGACAGATATTGTGATGGGTGAGTAGCCATGTAAAGTTGAGGACATGATGTAAAGGAGAAAGATGTGTACTGTTAGTCTTTTAGAGGCTGCCTATCTAGTGGCAACACAATGCAGATGTGGAATTCTGGCAAAGGAATGGACTGCCGTCCTCTGATGGCCAAGCAGATGCAACAAATGGAATCTGCACAAGTCTATCCTTGGACAGGTCCTGTTTGCTTCATTCCCAATAAAGAAAATAAAACAACTGAAAAGTACATGGTGAAATGTTTTTAAAAGCTGAATGGAAATGAGAAAATGACAAAAAGGATGAGGGTAGATGGAGTAAGTCTAAAGTAGGAAGAAGGGTGCCTGCTTTTGGTAGAGCGTGTGACCCTTTGATCTTGGGGTCGTGAGTTCAAGCCCCATTTTGGGGCTAGAGATTAAAAGGAAAAAAGGAAACCCCTCCCCAAAACAGCAATGTGGATGGAATACGGCTATCCAAAGAAGCACCACAGACCCCTGGATTCAGGAGACCTCATGGGCAGCAAAAACTATTAAAAAGACCACAGATAAGGGGATTAGCTATTTTCTGTTAGGTTTTAGTACCAGGTTCCCATGATATGACCCCAAAGGGAAGCAAGTTCAGTGAAAAAACTGACATCAGCATATATTTGTGAGTCTTTGCAAGCGCAGCTTTGAGGTTTGATAACAATCTCAATCTGTACAATATCCGTCGAGTACAGAGTGACCAGTATGTACATCCTAGCTGTTCAATGGTAAGAACGGCAGGGACAGTGCTCTGGTCTGATTACCATCCCAGTGTCATGAGTGGTCTGTGAAAGGTGGCTTGGTTGTGGAAAACTACAAAAACTGGATGTAAAAGTAAAATGCAGACTTTTTTGGTTAAATCCATCTTCACTGAAATCCAGAAACTGTGCTGTGTTTTCCATAAAATCACCTTTTATGGAAATATTTGAATACATCAGGGTTTTCTGTTGGGTCTTACGAATCTGGACAGAACATCTCCCCTTTTCCTTTTATATTTTCCTCATCCTCTTCTTGCAGCGCTGGTTGAAAACAGGGGAAGATCCCATGAGGCTATCAGTGGAGTGGGAACCATAGCTGCTGTCTGAGTCATCAGGGCTCTGGGGGATCCCGGCTTCACTCATCCCAGACATGGGCTCCTCGAAGACATCGCTGCCCATCACACCATGCCCAGAGACGTTGCCTTCTTCGCTCTCTTGAGGCTCCATTTTCACATGGGCAAGATTCCAAAGAGGGGAAGCATTTACCTCTGTGCCTAGCAATGGAAGAACACACAACTAGTGGTAAGCCAAGGCTGGAACACAGCAAAACAAATATTTCACCCGGGGCACAACCTTTGAGCTCAGTTTTTACTCCGATTCTGCTTGGCTGGAGAATATGGCTGTTATCCTGTGTTCAAAAAGGTACCAGCTCCAGGGGCGCCTGGGTGGTGGTTTAGTTGGTTAAGCGGCTGACTCTTAATTTTGGCTCAGGTCATGATCTCATGGTTTGCGGGTTTGAGCCCCACATTAAGCCTGCTTGGGATTCTCTCTCTCCCTACCCCTCCCCAATCACCTCTCTCTTTATCAAAAATAAAGAAAAATTAAAGAAAAACCCTACCAATTCTATTTTCCTTTCTACTTCCTTCACTCTCCTTTACCCCACCTCACCTACTCTCCCATTTTCTCTAAACCAGGGAAGTAAAACTACACAGGTACCAAGATTCTGTCTCATGGCCCAAAGGCGGGCAAACCACAGGCTCTTGTTCAAGTGTTGTTTCTTCTTTCCTTCCTTCCTTCTCTAAGGCTGTTCTGTTTTCCTGCCTTTTTGAGTCCCTGGTCCTCTCTCATTTTATGAACTTAATGATCACTACAAAATGCTGGCAGCAGGTCCCAGACTGCTGAAAAGAGACATGGTTCCTAAGCCCGCAACAATTTCTCTCTGGCCCTCCTGTCTCTGTGTTCTAGCAACACTGTTTTGTGGTTATTACTTCTTCCATGGTGAAAGGTTCTCTGCTCAACACTAAAAAATGTGGCCTAATTCTGTTTAGGATTTGTGCATCGGTGAAATGACATTTATATTTGTAAAGAACTGAGTATCTAATTTGCAATCTCACTAACTGAAGGGTCGAGTCGTCCTGCTTCCAAAGGTGATCACAGAGTCTGTCTGGAAGAGGCAGGTACCTCTAACTGGACAGTCCTATTTCAATCACTTTCAGCTACAATTTATTGGGAACACTCTAGAAAGGAAGCCCAACTATTCAAACAGCCTTGAGCAATTAACATTCCTCCATCTATCTGGAAGTTGTCTAATGAGTGGAAGCATCGGGAAAGAACAGAACAGCATACTGAGTGATGAAGGGGACATCTGCCCATCATCTGGCTCAGCTAAATTAACTCTGGTAATAACAGGATCACACGTATTGCACCTATGTCCTAACTAGGAATGATTTTATTTATTTATTTTTTTTAATGTTTTTTTTTCTTTATTACTAGGAAAGAGAGAGAGAGAGAGCGTGAGCAGGGGAGGGTCAGAGAGAGAGGGAGTCATAGACTGAAACAGGCTCCAGGCTCTGAGCTGGCAGTCAGCACAGAGCCCGACGCGGGGCTTGAACCCACGAACCGCGAGATCATGACCCAAGCGAAAGTCGGACGCTTAACCGACTAAGCCACCCAGGCGCCCCATAACTAGGAATGATTTTAAATAATGCCCATACAGTTGTTAGTCCTCCCTTCACTGATGACAAAGAGAAGAATGCTCGTATCACTAGATCAATGAGGCTGTAGTTGTTCTTAGACCTTCTGGTCTTTTGCCCACCCACACTTTTTTCTCTATCTCCAGAGTTTGATTCCGAAACACAGAGTGCTGAGACTGGCAGTTCTCCCAGAATCAAGAGTTGGTTGATTTCTCTTACTTGAAGCCTGCGGCGAAGCCTCGACCTCCAGGTTAGATGGGAAGCGCTCACTCTGAGCCCCGAGGACTCCCATGGGCAGTGACTGGTCTCCAGAAGTAAGGTCAGCCTCCAGTTCCTCACTGACAGGGAAGGTGATGTCGCTCACAGGTTCTTCCTTGATCTTTACAGGTTTAGTGTCCTCTGTGGCCTTCTCAGGATTGACAATTCTTTCATACTCCTCAGATAGTTGCTTACTAATCTGTTGGCAAGAGAGAGTCATTTTTCCAAATGAATGTCAAAAGCAAGGTGAACAGTCAGCTTGTGGCATCCCATGGAAAAGACAACATCATATGAATAGGAATAAAGCAACCAGTACCAATGGAAGGAATTATTTTTACATTTTTTGGGGGGCATAGCTGACACGTGGAAGGAATTTGTTTAAGGTGCTGAGTTTGCATTTGTAAATGACAAAGACGTGTAAAGCAAAGTTGTTTGCAGAGTTTGTGTGTCATTAAGTTACACAGAGGTGAAAGAGGCTTTGTTAGAGATAGATCCGAATGGGGACAAAAGATTACATTTTTGTCTGTAAAAACTGTTGACATATGTACCCTAGGTGGATAAAGAAGGCTGTAGGAAATCTGAATCACTTAGCAAAGACTTTTTTGTTGGGTGTTAAAAAATCCTTATGATAATTTAGATTTGGGGAAACCAAAACAGTGAACAAATGACTTAAGGCCACATAGGTTAAAGAGATTAGATATTTCTGGCTCTAACCCAAAATAGTATCTCTACCCACTCTTCTACCCTTGGGCAGTATCACCTCATAATGTTTGGTTCCGTTTTTTATAGCACTTAACGCTATCTGAAATTGTTTTGATCACTATTTACTTACTTGTTTTTTGTTTCCCTCTCAAGAATGCAAGTTCAAAGAACTTAGTGCCTGACTCACAGTAGGACTCAATAAATATCTGTTGAATAAAGCGTGCTAACCACATTCTCTCAGACTCTATATACCTGTCTATAATTTCTTCCAGAGGACGTATTATCAGTACACGGGGCCGCTCACTGGCTAAAGAAGGCCCTGGGTCTGGCCAGGTCAGTGATGAGGCCAATGGAACACAGCTAGGGCCAGGAGGAGAGCATGTCAAGCCCTCTCTGCTCCAAGACCCTGCGCCCCGCTCTCTAGGGTAAGTGCTGTGGGATCCTGCTACTGCCCCTAAGATGTGTGTAATCACATCTTTACCCGCTTCTCATGGGGTCACCTCACCTGTAGCATGTAACTGTGATAGTCCTTGATGCGGTGCTGCCAGAACTTCTGGAGGGAGAGCACACTGCCGATGCCCACTTCATGGAATACTTGCTCTATGACGTCAGGGAAAGGGGTCTGCCCCAGCCGGGCCTCCCGATCCACAGCGAAGCGCAGCAACTTGGTGAACTTAAGGCAGTACTCGTGTGCCACATCAGTGAGGGTCTCCAGGACACTTTCATTAGCACACTCAAAGCCTGCGTGGGCCAGGATTGTGGCCACTGCCTGGTAAAGGAGCTGCCGGCAGGAGTGCCAGCTGAGTTCCGTCACAGGTTCCCCCTTCCCACTGAAAGGGGACACATGGCAGTGTTATTAGTGTTCTCGCACAGGGTCACCTGTCCTGTCTCCCTAGGAGTTTTTATAACTTCAGTCAAGCTGCTGGCCCAGATTTCTAGGGGATTCTATGCAGGTAACAAAGCACAGTTTCATCTTGCTGCCGCCAGGGCATGTCTCAACAGCTCACAGTCATCTCTGAGCTCCTCCAATTACACAAAGTTTTAATAGGCAATACGTGTCTATAATAAACAACATAAAAGAGTATCAGGTGAATAGGAAGCTTCCTTTTACCATCTGCTCAATATCGATCACTTGTAGGATATAATAAAATTTAACACTATAGCTGAGATACTGCTCAGTGGTGCTCTAGTGATTTCACCATAACATAGTTTCCTCATATGCTGGGTGATAAATGAGCTTTCAGAAATTCAGTCCCAATGCGGAGATTTTTCTACAACTAAAATAGACCATTTGTAAAACTGGGAAAGCAACTCAATTTTATAAAAGCAATTTAAAATACATATAGTCTACAAGGCATTTTTATCCTCTCCTGTGCAAAGAAATGGGTAGGGTCCATATTTTTCTCATATGGCAGGTGAAGAAATTGAGGTTCAGAGGGGCTGACCTGCCAGAAGTTGTATAGGTATTATTAAGAGGTTGAGCTTCTAACTTCAGATCCTATGTTCTTCATAATACACCATTTTGCCCCTAATCATTGCTGTGGAAATCTTTTTTTTTTTTTTTTTAAATTAAATCAATTGTTTTAGAGAGGGAGAAAGAGCATGAGTGAGGGAGTAGGGCAGAGGGAGAAGGAGAGGATACCAAGCAGGCTACACACTCAGCATGGAGTCCCATGTGGGGCTCGATCCCACGACCCTAGGATCACGACCTGAGTCAAAATCAAGTGTGGGATGCTTCACCAACTGAGCCACCCAGGTGCCCCTGTAGAGGTCTTAATCTAAGAAAAAATTTTCAAAAAGCTGAGTTCCTAAAAATAACTTTTAGCAAACTTCTAATTATTTAGAAAAATATAAAATTCCTATCTTCTGCCTCCCTCTGACAAAGGAAGTAAATTGATAAAATAAGGTACATACTTGGTACATGTCACCATGCGCTGTACAAGAGGGCTTGGGGAGCTATCCACCCACTTTACTATTATCTGCTCAGGAGCAACTACTGTAATCCACACAATAGCTAGAGAACAAAACCAACTGCCAAATAACTTTTCATTTACTATTTCCACCATCATTTCCCATGGCCAGTCTCCCCAGGCCAAAAGCTAAAGGGCTCAGAAGTAAATAAATAGCTAACCCAGTATTGCTTTATTTGCGTAACACATGGACTTATTTCTTTTCTTTTTTTTTCTTTCATAGTTTACTGTCAAGTTGGTTTCCATATAACACCCACTGTTCATCCCAACAAGTGCCCTCCTCCACACGGACTTATTTCAAAGGACAATAATTCTTTTAGCACCCCCATAGCTGATGCAAATTATTTTTGTTAAACAGTTTCTTATGTATAAAACAAACTAGTTATAAACTTCTGGTGTTTACAGCTCTTCCTAACAATTAAAATCAGAAGTTTGAGATTGGAAGAACAAATATTATTAAAATGCCTATACTATGCTAAGCAAACTACACATTTAATGCAATCCCTATCAAAATACCACCAGAATTTTTCAGAGCTAAAACAAAATAATTCTAAAATCCTAAGAAAGACCCTGAATAGCCAAAGCAATCTTGAAAAAGAAAAGCAAAGACAGAGGCATCACAATTCCAGACTTCAAGTTATATTACAAAGATGTAGTGATGAAGACAATATGGTACTGGCACAAAACAGGAAACAGAGATCAATGGAACAGAACAGAAAACCCAGAAATGGATCCACAACTAGATGGTCAACTAATCTTTGACAAAACAGGAGAGAATATCCAATGGAAAAAAGAGTGTCTTCAACAAATGCTGTTGGGAAAACTGGACTACTTTCTTATACCATATACAAAAATAAATTCAAAATAGATGAAAAGACCTAAATGTGGGACAGGAAACCATCAAAATCCTAGAGGAGAACACAGGCAGTATAACCTCTTTGACATTGGCCGTAGCAACTTCTTACTAGATACATCTCCTGAGACAAAGGAAACAAGCGAAAATAAACTACTGGACTTCATCAAGATATAAAGCTTCCGTTCAATGAAAGATACAATCAACAAAACTAAAAGGCAACCTTCAGAATGGGAGAATATTTGAGAATATTGCATATTTGCAAATGACATATCTGATAAAGGGTTAGTATCCATCCAAAATCTCTAAAGAACTTATAATACTCAACACCCCCAAACCAAATAATCCAGTTAAAAATCGGCAGAGGACATGGATAGACATTTTTCCAAAGAAGACATACAGATGGCTAACGGACACAAGGAAAGATGCTCAACATCATCATCAGGGAAATACAAAAGGGGGATGGGCTAAATGGGGCATGGGTATTAAGGAGGGCACTTGTGATGAGCACGAAGTGTTGTATGTAAGTGAGGAATCACTAAGTCCTACACCTGAAACTAATACTACACTGTATGTTAACTAATTGGAATTTAAATAAAAACTTGATAAAGGGAAAAAAAATTAGAAGTTTTACACACAACTACAAAATTCTAAATAACAGCATCAGGCGCCTGAGTGGTTCAGTTGGTTGAGCATCCGAGTCTGGATTTCAGCTCAGGTCATGATCTCAGGGTTGTGGGATTGAGTCCTGCATCAGGCTCTGTGCTGAGTATGGAGCCTGCATGAGATTCTCTTTCTCTACTCTCTCCTTTTTCCCCTCTCCTCCACTCATGCTCTCTCTTGCACTAAATTAAAAAAAATTTTTTTGAGTTAAAAATAAATAGCATCAATTTAATATGATGAACAATATAATTTTGTTACAGCTAAACTGCCTTCAAAATGTAAATATGGTACTGATCACCACAGAGCAAGTTTTCTGAATTTGGGCCATGCATGTAATGACACAGTTATCCCTATTTTTTTCACTATTCCCAGGACTTTAGAACCTTTGATTATATAGCGCGCCAGGACATCATCTGGTCTCCATCTACCCAATGGCAACCCTTGCTTATTAAGCCTATTGCTGTTCTTTTCTCATTAATTTGGGACAATTAAAATAGTAGTAAATATTATCATCAGTAAGCACATGCAATGATTGCTATGCAGTATTATTTATGGTTTTATTTTTGTTTTTTTGCTAAACACATATTTAACCTGAATCTAATCTTGAGGAAATAATCAGCAAATCCAGTGAGTGGGACTTTCTACATTTCTAAGTGACCTGAACTCTTAAAAAAGATTTACATCGTATTTTTTTTTTTTTTAAAGAGGAAGCTATTCTAGTTTAAAAGACACTGAACAGCCAAAGGCAATGCATGAATCTTTGTTAGGTTCTGGATTAGGGAACAATATTGGAGACAACTGGAGTAATCTGAATATGGGCTTATTAAGTGATAATATTTAACTGGTGTTCATTTACTTTGGTGTGATAATAGTATTGAGATTACATACGAAATTTTCCTTATTCTTAGGATAAGGTGAAGAATTTAGAGGTGAATGAATGCTTAAGAATTAAGAGGTAAAATATGTACATTATTAAGTATATGTTTATGTGTGTATACACACTTATATATACGTGAGAGAAAATAAATGTGGCAAAATGTTAACAATGGGTAAATCCTGTTAAACAGTATTTGGGCATTTTTTGTATTATTATATAAAATCTTTATATTTATTTATATTTTAGAGAGTGTGTGAGCAGGGGAGGGGCAGAGAGAGAGGGAGACACAGAAACTGAGGCAGGCTCCAGGCTCTGAGCTGTCAGCAGAGTCTGCTGTGGGGTTCAAACCCCCAAACCATGAGATAATGACCTGAGCGGAAGTTGGATGCAATGCTTAACCAACTGACTCACCTAGGCACCCCTTTTGTACTATTATTTAAACTTTTCTTTGGTCTGACAAATTTCAAAATGCAAACAAAAAGTTTATTTGGCATCAAATGCAATTTTTCACAATGCAACCGAGTAGTAGCATTAGGTTAGAAGGAAGTCATTCAGAGGCCTTGGAGTAGGGCTTCTCAAACTTAAATATACATATGAATCTTCTGGAGATCTTGTTAAAATGAAGATTCGATTCGGTAGGCTATGTAGGCCCTGAGACTCTGAACTCCTAACAGGCTCCCAGGTGATGCTGATGCTGTTAGTTTCCGCCCAGATTTTAAGTAACAAGGATCAAGAACATTTTTATATTATTTATTAAATGATGTTATAAAAATGAAAATACAGTTGACTCATGAACGATGCGGGAGTTAGGGGTGCCAACCCCTCCATGAAGTAGAGAATCTGCATACAGCTTTGACCCCCCGCAAACTTCATGATTAATGGTTTACTATTTTTTTAATATTTATTTGTTAACTTCTTTTTAGTAATCTCTACATCCAACACAAGAGTTCAAACTCATGACCCTGAGATCAAGAGCCATATGCTCTTTTGACTAGGCAAGCCAGGCATCCCAATGACTAATAGCCTGCTATTAACTGGAAGCCTTAGCGATAACATAAAGAGTCGATTAACACATATTTTGTATGTTATATGTGTTATATACTATATTCTTACAATAAAGTAAGCTAAAGAAAAGAAAATGTTACTAAGAAAATTATAAGGAAAATACATCTACAGCACTGTTCTGTAAAAACATCCTGCATGTAAGTGGACCTGCACAGTTCAAACTGGTGGTGTTTAAGGCCAACTGTACACAATTTAAAAACTCTTATATAAAACTTAATGGATTTCTGATATTATGAGAATCAGTCCATGAATCTCAATTTTAAGACACTGAGCTAAATCCATAATAAACATATTAAATTAAATAGACTACATCTGTGGATTGTGAGGCCGTGCCTTCTTTTCCATATGCTATAGTTCCTTGCTCCTAGTAAAGTGGCACTCACATCGTTGTTACATCAAAAATAAAAGATATGGGGCGCCTGTGTGGCTCAGTTGGTGAAACTCGGGTTTCTTGAATTTGAGCCCTGCGTCGGGCGCTGCACACTGACTGCATGGAGCCTCCCTGGGATTCTCTCTCTGCCCCTCCCCCTGCTTGTGCTCTGTCTCTCTCAAAATAAATAAGTAAACTTAAAAAAAAAAAAAGATACAGTAGACTCTGGATTTGGAAGATCATTTCAAGTCTTAGACTTCCTACTAATTACCTGAGCAACTTTGGCCATGTCAATTACTCTTATCCTCAGTTTCCTCACAGAAATATTATTACATGCTTAACAGTCCTGTTGTGAAGATTTTTTGAGAAAAGTAAGATATAGCAAAGCCTCGTCTTACCGATAAAAGTCACTCTCTGGATCACTGTGTCGGATCTGGAATGGTGCGTTGGGATTCTTACAATCTAACGGCAGGAGGTCATCAGGAAGAGGGGGTGACCCAGGGCAAGAGGGAAGAGGTTCATTCTCTTCAGTCTTTACACCTTCTGTCTGTTGCTGACTCTGGGCCTGAGCTGTGGCAATGAGGTTGCGCAGACGTCGGTTGTGCTGGATCAGCTGAATGGTGTGGATAGTGAGGCTGCATGGCTCTGAGGGGATGTCCAACATAGTGGGGGGCTTGGGCTTATTGGCTGAGGGCTGATGCAGGGGTGGGTCATGGACTTCCACAAGACGGAACTCTCGAGGGAGCAAATCAAAGGAACTCCTGTTGGTCTGGCTCGATGAGATTGGTATCTCTCCCCAGTATCTCAACATTTTGGAATAAGAAACTTTCAAGTTAAATGTAGTGATAAAATGTTTTTAAATCTCTAGGTTATAGGTTTCTGTAGTGAAAAATGTGAAGTCTAGCCAGTTATTTACATAAAAAGTAGGCTGTTCAACACCACTTAGAAAATGTCAGTGCCAGCAACACTGTAGGACCAAAGATGTTCTCCCTGAAGAAATTAAGAGAAATACAACTGTTAGATGCCAGTCACTGCAGTCACATACAGTGACAATTCCTACTGGACTGAACCACAGGTGGAATTTGGGTCATTAGTAGACTAACGGCTGCAATAGTATTGGGAGCTCTAGTGTCCATGTTTTCCATCTCACCCCACTAACGCATTACTAGAACGACCATCATGCCCAATCTTGAACAATTTGCAAGGCAAGATACTTAAATGAAACCTAGAATATTTTGACACATCTGTCCTGAATCAGTAGGAGGAAAGGGAATAGAGTTAAAGATAGGAAGAGGTGGTTCTTATTCTGTGTATGTCAAAAACATGAGCAATATTTCAGTGGATCCTGGGGGGAAAATGTATTGACCAGGAGTCTAAATGGTCCTATGCATTGAACTTCTGACATACATATGGAAGACTCTGAGTGATTTCTGTTGCCTCCTAATTGGTATCCCTTCCTCCAGTCTCTCCTTGTGTCTAATCTATTCTCCAGTGCTGCTAGACTTAATCTTACTAAAACTCAGGTCTAATGGCTTCTCATTGCCTATTGGAAAAAGCCAGCCAGAATTCTTTGGCCTACCACTCCTCAAAATTTGCAATCTGGCTTCAACCCACCTTTCCAGATTCATTGCCCATATGTCTCTTCACGTTGAACAAATGTTTATCAAATGCCAGGCATTATGGAGGGAGACAAAGACGACTGCAAGATCCCTGACCTGAGGTAAGGGAGAGAAATAGAAACAGAATATTTCGATATCAAAGTGTGCAGAAAGGGCTGCTCTAGAGTCACAGACCTAGTGCAGTGGAAGCACAAAGAGGAAGCTTCCTGGAAATTCTAGTTCTAACATATATCATTCTACTCAGTTTCTTGAGAATGTCACGTATTTCCACAAATTGACCCTTAAAGTTGTGATCTCTGCCAGAAATGCCCTGCCACCCACCACATTCTGGGCAGACTTTCATTCGTTCTTAAGTACAGGTTAAGTTACCACTTGCCATCACCTCCCCAGTAAATCTCCCTTCATTATATTCTCACAACACTTTGATGTCTCCATCACAGCATTTATGCCTGGATTTAAACCCGTCCTTATCTCAATCGATTTTATTCTCTCATCCATCTCCCACAACCACGATCTTTGTACAGTGTCTGGTACACAGTGCCAGGCTTTGCCTTTATTGTTTAATTCGGTTTCCCCATTTCAGTTTTTAAAGGTGGAAGCTGAGGCCCACTGTCTTTCCCAATATCACAAATGACCGAGGGAAACAATCCAGATAGGCTCTTAACCTCTACACTATGGAGTCTCAATAATTGGTTTTAGACAAAAAAAAAAAAAAAATGAACAAAGAAACGGATCAATCAAGGGACACAGAAAAAATCACCGTCTTCCTTAATTTCACCGATAAGAGGACGAGGAATAGGCACCAAGCTCAAAGAAAGCCCAGGTCCCTTGGGGCTCCTCGGTCACGGTCAGCAGGCGCAAGCGCCAATCACAGAATCCTGGGGTCACCTGATGCCGGGGGTAGCCGGGAGACAAGGAGGTCTGGACCTAGACGGAGGCAGAGAAGCGCCACCATTCACTGCCGCGTCGCAGGAGCTGGGCTGGACGAAGGTACGCCTCGGAAAGGCCTGAGGCGAGGGTCGCGCCGGGCCCGGAAGACTTGCTTGTGGATTAGTGGTCCTCGGCTGCCGGAAGCGCTTCTTCTCTATCAGGCTGTGCCACAGGAAGTTATTACAATCCAGTTGCAACCTCTAAAGATGTCCCCGTACTGAGAACTCCTCGGCCGCCTTTTCCTGGTTTGGTTTTGTTTTCGTTTTTTTCTTATTATATCCTTCCCGTGAGATTCACCTCTTCGTAACGTGGCGGGTGGTGAAGAAGCAACTCCGCCCTCGCTGTTCAGAGAAGCCACCGGGAGCTGGGAGAGGGAAGCGTGGAAAGGAACCTGGAGACCGAAGGGGGAGGTTTCCCAGGAACGGATGTCGAGACTGCACCCGGTTGAGGATGGCCGGTAGCTCCGCGAAACCCGAGCCCCCGGCATCGCAAGAGCTCAATGACGACTTCAAGAAGCCAACCCTGCCGGCGCCCCCGGTTGTGCGGGGCAAGGCTCCCGCCACCAGTCCTTCAGACCCTGACGAGCTGGAGAAGGAAAGGCCCACGGCGCCGCTAGACCCCGATTCCGTGGAGCCTGAAGTCCGGCCAGTGCGGCCGGACCGCGGGGACACCCGGAGTCCACCGGAGGAGCAGCCGCGGCCGCCCACAGCGGCTCCCTCCCCGGGCGGTCCGGCCCGGGCTCCTCCTTACCGAGAGCCGCCGTGGGGCGGCCCCGCCACAGCCCCCTACAGCCTAGAGACACTAAAGGGCGGCACCATTCTTGGCACCCGGAGCTTGAAAGGGACGAGCTGCTGCCTTTTCGGGAGGCTGTCTAGCTGCGACGTGTGCCTGGAGCATCCTTCGGTGTCTCGGTTCCACGCCGTGCTGCAGCACAGGGTGTCCGGCCTCGAAGGAGAATGCGACGGCCACGGGCCCGGCTTCTACCTTTACGATCTGGGAAGCACCCACGGCACTTTTCTTAACAAAACCCGCATCCCACCCCGCACCTATTGTCGCGTCCACGTCGGGCATGTCCTTCGCTTCGGAGGCAGCACCCGGCTCTTTCTTCTTCAGGTAAGTAGAAAAACGAAGGATCGAAATCTCGGGAGCGCCCCGGCCTGGCTCCTTAAGCTTTCGCGGAGGAAGGAGGTTCTCCCAGGAAGCGTTTACAAAAGCGGGAGACTCTGGCCACTCTGCAGACCTCTGTACACATTGCCATCTTTCTGAAAATGAAATATGAATGCAACAATCCTGAACTCTGAAAGAATTCTTTCTCTTGGTTCATCAGGGACCAGAGGAGGACCGAGAGGCAGAATCTGAGTTGACAGTAACTCAATTGAAGGAATTGCGCAAGCAGCAACAAATGATGTTGGAGAAGAAGATGCTGGGAGAAGACTCGGATGAGGAAGAAGTGGATTCCACTGAAAGGAAGGCAAATACTAGTAGTCAAGATGATGAAATGGGCTGCACCTGGGGGATGGGTAAGAAATTAAAATGCTGCCAGAGGTTAATATTTTAAATTCGTTGCTAGTGGTATCCTTAATTGTTTTCTCTCATACACTTTTCATGACTTTTTGAGATATGTGGGACAAATACAATTTGCACACGAGATTATCAAACCCACAGAGATTCATTCATGTTTCTAATGTCAAAAAATTGAATTATAGGCTCTGTGGATTTCTTTCCTTTTTTTTTTTTTTTAAGATTTTACTTTTAAGTAATCTCTACACCCAGAGTGGGGCTCAAACTTACAACCCAGAGATCAAGAGTTGCCTGCTCTGCGGACTGAGCTAGTCAGGCGGCCAGTCTTTTAATGCGTTTTACAGTGCGCTCCCTTGTTCTAAACTCTTCTTCAGCATACAGCTAATTTATTATTTTTACCATTTAAATGGTACTGGCCTTGATTATTATCATTGGAGGGGCCAGAACTGTATTCAGTCCAATAACATGGAATGCTCAATATAGGATAGTCCGTCGAAGTTTTTGTACTTTGTGTAAATTCCCTGAAATGTGAAATAGCTAATCAGAGAAAGCTCATCCTTTAGCCAGAGGTATAAATTGAATTTTCCATAATACCAGACATTTTGGAGGATGGGTATTCAGGAGCTGGGAATATAAAAAGAGGAATGCCTTAATATGTTGTTGGGAAGACCGGATAAATATTATGGAATTACTTTTGTAAGTGCCAAACACTTATTAGAAACCATAAGTAATGCTAGAGTAAGGGCTCAGAGAAGGGAGTGATCACTGAGGACTTAGACCTGCATTGTCCAGTATTGTAGCCACTACCCACATGTGGTTATTGAACACTGACCGTATGGCTAGTCCAAACTGACTTGTGCTATAAATGTAAAATACTGGATTTCAAACACTTAGTGTGAAAAAAGAATATAAAATATCTTATTCATAGTATTTTTATATTGATTACATGATCATTGTACCTGTTGCTCCTTTTTAATGTGGCTACTAGAAAATGAAAAATTTCATGTATGGCTTTCATTATATTTCTTTTGGGCAACACTGACTTAAAATTTGGGAGAGTTTTTAAGTTTACAAACAGACAGGTCTTGAGTTGGAGCTTGAAGGAAATTAAAATTAGCCCTTAGGAAGTTAAATATTGAGTATTCAGGGCAGGGATTGAAGATTTTTAAAATTTATTTATTATTTTTAAATGTTTATTTATATTTGAGAGGGAGAGAGAGCGAGAGCGAGAGCGTACCAGCAGGGGAGGGGCAGAGAGAGATGAACACAGAATCCGAAGGAGGCTCCAGGCTCTGACCTGTCATCAAAGAGCCTGACGTGGGACTCAAACTCAAACTCAGATCCTGACCTGAGCCAAAGTTGGATGCTTAACTGACTGAGCCACCCAGGCACCCCTAGGGATTGATGATTTTAAAGGAGTAATGAGTAAACCAGTCCATCTGGCAGATATGGTAAATATTAAGAAATTATATTGGAGACAGAGTATTAGACCCAGGTGATAGAGAATGGGAATGCCAGGCCAAGAAGCTTAGATTTTTTTTCCATGGGCAATGTGGTAGGTAATTTTGCTTTTAAAATATAGTGATGGAGGAGGGGGGGAAAGGTGCCATGAAAACAAGTTTTAATTTGTCACACAATTTAGAAAACCTAAAGATATTTATACTTTATAAAGTGGTTTTGTGTGCCCGTTTCTCCCCCACCCCACACCTTTCTTTTAATTAATAACTGTACCTTTATGCAGGTGAAATGGAAAGTGGACGTCATTCAGAGAGTCTCTCCTTATGTCTGTCTTTTCTTTCCTTCCCATATCCTGTAGGAGAAGATGCTGTAGAGGATGAGGCTGAAGAGAATCCCATTGTCTTAGAGTTTCAGCAGGAGAGGGAGGCCTTCTATATAAAGGACCCAAAAAAGGCTCTCCAAGGTTTTTTTGACCGAGAAGGTATGTAAACAGATTCTGACCCTGCCAGTAGAAGGTGTCCACAGCAGTGTTGTCTTGTAGAGCTTCAAGGTACTTAGAAATGCATGTTTTATCTGCTGCTCTGCTTGCTCAGTTCTTGCCCTTGCAGTTAGTTGCTTCAGGTTTATTTTGAAAATAGTAAAAATCTTATTAGTCTTCTTCCCATCTTGGAAAAAAGGCACTACTTTTTTCTGACTTGTTGGGTCTCATTCTTCTCAGAAGATCCTAGACTTGGGTGGTGGGGAGATTGACCTAACTTCTTAAAATTTTTTGTTTCTAATTCATCTGATCTTTTGTAATTCTTTTTTTAAAAAAATATTTATTTATTTATCTTGAGAGAGAAATAACGCGTGCATAGGCAGGTGAGGGGCAGAGAGAAGGAGACACAGAATCCCAAGCTGGCTGTGTACCATCAGCGCAGAGACCAATGGGGGACTTGAACTCATAAATCACAAGATCATGACCTGAGCCAAGATCAAGAGACGGACGCTTAGCAAATTGAGCCATCCATGCGCCCCTGATCTTCTGTAATTCTTAACATGGATGTTCACTTTATATGATTTCCACAGAGGACTATTTCAGTAGAAATGCTTTGGTAGAACATCTGTGAGTGTGTGCATGTGTGTACATATGAACTGGTTGCATTCTGCACTTAATATTTGTGCTTCTAAAATTTTTTTCTAATGTTTATTCATTTTTTGAGAGACAGAACACGAGCAGGGGAGGGGCAGAGAAAGAGGGAGACACAGAATCTGAAGCAGGCTCCAGGCTCTGAGCTATCAGCACAGAGCCTGGTGTGGCACTCGAACACATGAACTATGAGATCATGATCTGAGCCTAAGTCAGATGCTTAACCGACTGAGCTACCCAGGCGCCCCAGTATTTGTGCTTCTAAAAACCAAGTAACAACTTACATCTACAACTTATAATAAGTGTGAAAGCTGCTATGTAGTGGACAGAGCTATTTATGGCAAGCTGATTGTTTTGATCTAAGTTTGCTTTTCTTTGCCTCAGGCTCACCCTTCGTTTATTATCAGAAAATAATTCCTGGGAATAAGAAGTGAATTAGCAGCACCTGGATGACTCAGTCGGTTGAGCATCCAACTTCGGCTCAGGGCATGATCTCACAGTTTGTGGGTTCAAGCCCGGCATTAGGCTCTGTGCTAAACACTTGCTCAGAGCCTGGAGCCTGCTTCAGATTCTGTGTCTCCTTCTCTTCCTGCCCCTCACCTGCTCATGCTCTGTCTCACTCTGTCTCTTAGAAATAAATAAATGAAAAAAAATTAAAAAAAGAAAAAGAAGTGAAATGTTTTGAAATTTAGTGTTCAATGAGGTATGGAAAGTTGATGTTCTTTTTTTTGTAATGTTTATTTATTTTGAGAGAGAGTGAGTGGCAGAGAGAAAAGGAGAGAGAGGATCCCAAGCAGGGACAGCTCAAAGCCTAATGTGGGGCTGGATCTCACGAATCACAAGATCATGACCTGAACTGACATCAAGAATCAGACGCTTAAACTGACTGAGCCATCCATGCGCCCCAGAACTTAATATTCTTCTATCATTCTTCCCTCTCTTTTCCCTTTGTCTCAACTAGTAATTTTCAGATACTGTTAAAATTGTTTTGTCTTTCTTCCTTCCACAGGAGAAGAATTGGAATATGAATTTGATGAACAGGGACATAGCAC